ACACATATATATATATATATATATATATATATACATATATAATATATATAATATTTATAAATTATATATATTATATATATAATATATAATATTATATATAATTTATACATTACACATGAAATCATATAACAAATATATATTTTACTATACATTTATTTTTGTATTTTATAAACATGATGCGCAGACGATTCCAAGTTACTGGTTTCATAAAGTAGGTGAACACACGTGAAGAGAAGAACTGCGCTCCAATAATAAACTTCAATACTAATAAAAATAATTAATAAACTAATGTTACAGTAATCTAAATAACGAGTTGGCTGGTTTTTCCTGATAAAAAGTTTGATTTTTATAAAAAATACCATATAAAAAAACAATACCGTACTAAGAGAACTACCAAATTTTTAGCATTCATTTTATTTGCTGTATTTGTAATGTAGTAGGGAGCGTACGATCGATAAAAAACGAAAATAAAAATAAAATGGTACTAGGAATGCAACAAACTAGAAATTAACCTATAAATACCATAATATTAATTGACATTTAGTTTAGTATTCATTTTATTTGCTTTTAAGTAGCCTAGTTACTTAGTACAGTAGAAAGACAACAAAATGTAAATACAAAAAGTATGATAAACCAATTGATGAACTTACAATGATAATTAGGCCTAGTTATATTAAATTTGGCGTTTTCGCAACTCCATTGGCGCTCCATAAATTTGTTGATCAAAGCGCGACCGAAATAAAGCCCGACCGAAACAAAGCGCAACCGAAATGATCTGTATTCCAAGGTGTTGCATGGCTTGCTCACTTCAAATTGTTGAATTGGTGGAATAACCCCATTTGTGTAGGGTGACTTTGAAAGGTCCACTCCAGTGACCCAGTCCTTACTATTCAGACATTTCCAATTGTGGACTCTTCATTTCTAGCTTAGCTAGAGATTTAGGCCTAGGCCTCAACAGTCATTCGGCCTAGGTAGGAGGAATGGAGGGGATATGACCGGTTGAGCCACTGACAAGTTGAGCCGCCGGTAATTTCTATGGAACGCCAAGCGCGTCTCTCAGTGAATGTAGCGCGTCTCTCAGTAAATGTAGTGCGTCTCTCAGTGAATGTAGTCGGCTTGCCCCGGATACCAGCTACATATTCATCCCACAGTCTTGTCAGTCGTTGATTTACTCGTATTGCCAAGAAGGGGTACATTGTGCTTAGCCTAGGCCAAGCCGGTGCCTTGCCTACGTTAGGCACACGTAGGACACTCAGACAGCACCATCATACACACAGCCTTGGCCTAAATCACGGGCATCCTTTAAAAACAGTACCATATCTATCGACTGTCTCTCGAGGGTTGGTCGTTTTCATCATAACTTCCGGGCTACTGACTCCATACGAACAGCAGCAGCCTTTGGAGAGGGTATGCCTAGCCTAGGCCTAGTCAGTTGTCAGTCGAGTCAATAATTCGAATAAAATCTAAAAAATCTCAACTTAAATCCGAACAAATTAACTGAAATTAATTAGAAATAGCATTACATAATTCAAATTACCTGTAAAACGATCCTTATAAATAATCATCTTGCGAGATTTCTTAGGATTTTACTTAGCTTTTCAGGTAAATGTACACCACCATCCAGCCGACAGCTATTAAAAAGGATGAAAAAATGAATTCTGCTGCCACCTACAGGTCGGCGAAATTTTGGCCATTTAATGGTGACGTCACATATTGCTACATGGTATCATTTTTTACTGTACTGTACTATATTTATATAAAGAAAAAAAAATTCTGATAATAGGAGCAGCCTTTACAAAACTGAAAGAAATCTATAAATCAAGAAATTTATGGATCATAATAATAGTCAATAATTTTATGTCTGCCAGTAGGCCCTATAGTTCTTTGGTTCCAATGTCTTTTATATTTATTATTCTAATAATCAGAGACCAAAGCTACTACTAAAGACCAAAAAAAAAAAAATCCTCGTCGGAAAATTGGTCTTTAACTGGAGGGAAACGATGGCCAACCGGAAGACAGCCTTTCAGTTCCCAGTCACTGGGAAAAAAACACCACTAACATAAACGTTTAAAAATGTCACACTGTACAATGTGCCTAAAATTAAATGTATTAAAGAAATTTAAATATGGGGTTTTAACCAGCAGTCTATTTATTGGTAGGCCATTATTTGGGAAGTTGCTATTAGGTAGGGCCAAAAATAGTACCTTGACCAGGCCGAGAAAAAACTTGTTCTATATTGATCTTTGTTGTTTTGAAGTTTTTAAAATTCTTTTAATTGTACAGTAATTATTATAATTTTCAATTTCAGAGCAAAATCTACTTGAAACCCTGTTTCTTGCACTTTATAAATCTTGTTTTTTATATTAACATAAAAAAATCATAAAAATTTGATGCACCATGTGTAAAAATATGGTTTATGAGCTAAAGCCACTGGTTGGTTGTCATGTTTTAGTACGATTGCTCTGACCGTCATCAGGGGAATTTATTATTTAATATTTTTGCACATGTACCAAAATTGTTATGATTGTTATTGTAATTGATACTCGCCATGCAAAAATTCAAGAAATATTATTTATTATTATTATTATTATTAATTTTTTTTATTGTTATTATAATTATTATTATTATTATTATTAATATTATTATTATTGTTATTATTATTATATATTATTTCATCATTATGCTGCTTTTTTTTTTGGGTGTGTGTGTGTGTTTTTTGTTTTTTTATTGGGTAACCCAGTAAAAAGAAATAAAAAGTACCAAAGAAAGAATGTAAGAAAGGTAGTTTGAATTTTCGTATTTTATGTTTGTTTTTTTGTTAGGGAACCAGACCGAATTTCATTGTTTGTGTTTGTATTATTATTATTATTATTGTTATTATTATTATTATTATTATTATTATTATTATTATTATTATTATTATTATTATTATTATTGTTATTATTATTATTATTATTATTATTATTATTATTATTATTATTATTATATCTACCAATCAGCAGCAAGTCCAACTTTCCAAACATAAAGTATTTCCCTGTTTAGGCAGTCGGGAAGTCGTTATTGTAATTATTATTATTATTATTATATATTATTACTGTATTATTATTATTATTAATATTATTATTATTATTATTATTATTATTATTATTATTATTATTATTATTATTATTATTATATATTATTTCATCATTATGCTGCTATTTTTTGGGGGTGTGTGTGTGTGTGTGTTTTTTAATTTTTATTGGGTAACCCAATAAAAAGAAATAAAAAGTACCAAAGAAAGAATCTAAAAAAATTAGTTTGAATTTTCGTATTTTATGTTTGTTTTTTTTTGTTAGGGAGCCAGACCGAATTTCATTGTTTGTGCATTGTACATGTATACATGACAAATATTAAATCTATTGAGTAATTGAAACAGTAGTGAAAAGTATTGAGGGCTCACTTCTTTCATCAATTTTCATCAATCTTTAATCACATGACTTTGTTTAGGTATCGTCATCGTCACTTTATAAAATTTCATTTCTCACACTGTAGATTCGTACGGACTAAGCCGCTACAACAGTGAGTTGATTGGAGTACAGGAAGAAGACAAGAATTTCGAATGTTAGGCCTGTGAAATAAATCATGGCTGCAGAAATTAGAACGAAAACAAAAACTCGGCGACCAGTTTTACTTAATAAACTTGAAGGATGTGGAGCCGTTGTGACAAAAGCAGTGATTATTCCTAAAGAAGATGGCGTTATTAGCGTATCGGAAGACAGGTAGGCTAGCCGCTAGCCATCATCATAGAATAAAATAGTAAGGAGAGAGCCAACAAAAATGGGTATAGGCCAGGCCCTAGGACCTGTTGGGTAGGGCCTAGGCTAGTCCTAGTTTGAGAGCGCTGCCCAGGGAGCGAGAGGTCTCCACCTCTGCCGATAGGCACTCCCCAGACTGGCTAATAATGATACCACCGTTCAGTTGGGCCCTAAGAAATTGTACAGTTTTCTAATCATGCTTGGAGGATGGATGGACCTCAATCAATAAAAATGTGTGTTGGTATGTTAAAAAGTGGATTATGATGATGATGAAGAAATGTAAAAATGTTTGATGCTCCAGACATAATGAGGTTGAATACCTTAAAACCTCAAATTGAAGCCCGGTGCCGTGGGCTTAATCTCAAGATGAAGTCTCTCTCGAATTGAAGCCCCCTCTTTAATTAGCAAAATTAGCCTCGAAAAGAAGCCCCTCTTGAAAATGGGCTTCTTTTCGAGGTAGTACAGTTCAAACACTGTGTGTATGAATGTCAGAAAACAGAATAAATTATAAAAAATCTTCGTTTATACATTAGTTTAGGAGATTTAATGTCAGTTAAAATACATTCCATACATTAATGTCAGTTAAAATACATTCCATAAAATACAGATTGATGTTTCATTCATTTTGAAAAGAAGCCCCATCCCCTCTTTACTTTGCAAAAGTAGTCTCGAAAAGAAGCCCATCTCGAAAAATAGCCCATCTCGAAAAGAAGCCCATCCAAAGTTTGTAAAAAAAAAAAAGAAGAAACCCAGAGCTTCAATTTGAGGTTTTACGGTATGTAATCAGCTTCCGGCCTTCACTGCTGCTACATAAAGCTACATTCACATCAAGCCCGGACAAAAAATTGTGAGTTGCTACGTTTTTTGAACGCTGCATTCACATTGTGCACGGAACACAGTTGTTCGGGTTAAGTATGTATGCTTCGATTGGTTCAAACCAACCAAGCTTGTTGCTGATTGGTCCAAGAAAAAAACGTACGATTTCAGGATACAAATGGCTCTCAGATCCATCGGTCCAGATCCGAAGTCCGGATTGAAAATTGTATGAATTTGATGTGAATGGTCCTATTCTTTACCACTGAATCTATTTTTCACGATTTTTTCTCCGGACCCGGACCGGAATCCGGGCTTGATGTGAACGTAGCTTTAGCCCTGATTCGTATAGGGTAACATCAGGTTCGTCCAGATTATTACTGGAAGTAAATACTGCTGGTCCAGTTTTTGAATTGTGATGAATAATGTTCAAGGATGAATGTTGATGGGTAAATTAGGCTAGGCCTATTATACAACACACTATTACTGTACCTCCATCAGCAAAGTAATACAACAGGACATCAATGAAGTAACATGAAGCAAAATATAACTTGTTGAAGATCTTTTCAGAAATATAAGAGGGTCGGAATTACACGTCCAGCCTAAACAAAATCCAAAATCAACTACACTGTTTACATAAAAAAAGTAAAGAAGTACTGTAATTCATTCTCATCGAACCCTAAATTCATTCTCATTGGCTCATCACTGTTGTTCAACTATAGTAGTACTATAATTGGTTAATAACAATATTTTATAATATGCGCCTCACCTACAATTGGTTGTGGCAAATGTAAACGCCCGCACGAAAATGCGTGATTGATGCATGACTGATACATGACTAGTAGAAGAACTAGATTTTAACCAGATACAGTATGTGCAGGTGCAATACTTAAATAATATCAATGTTACACTATCCAAGAAGTATTATAGGCTAGGCTTACAGTAGCTAGGTTAGTCTAGGCCTACCTACCCTGCTGTACAATTACAGGCCTCTAGAGTGGTGAATAATATCAAAAGATAATAATAATAAAGAAAGGCCTAGGTCCTTAGGCTAGTCTACGCTGGTCCGCAATATTGAGTCAGGATGAAAGTGGGCCTGATAGTCCACACTAGGGGGACATGACCGTCATGGCGTTTTTCTCTAGTTTGTTCCAATTGTCTGGAATTGGACCCGATCGTCTGTCACCCAAGCTTAGGCCTACTTACGGCCTAAACTCTTATTCCAATTTCATAATGCTTTTCTAATCTTTTCAGAACGTTGCGTGTTTGGTTGAAAAGAGACTCAGGACAGTATTGGCCAAGTATTTGTCACACAATGCCTTGTAAGTATAAAGCAATGATCCTTTAAACACAAGATAGCGTTCTCCGCAATTTACGCGTAACAAATAGAAGCGTCGATTGGGCAGCAGAAAGTGTCCTAGTTGTTGCCATAAATCTGAGATAAGGTTTTCGTGTTACACCAAAGTTTGTTACCAAGTACAATTGTTCCTTAATTGCAAATCGACGCTTCTATTTGTTATGCATTAAAGGTAAATTCCCACAGTGTAGGCCATAGTTAAAGTAAAAAAGTTGTCATTTTTGCAAGAGGGCGCCGTACACTGCATTATTGCAGAATTTGCACGCGGATGTCGCGGAGAACACTATCTTGTGTTTATAAGATCTTTGGTATAAAGGTCTACGTTAGGCCCCTATGTGGTGTGAACTGCCAACCTAATTTTAGTTCTTTCAGTTTGTGATTATTTATGTTAATCATAAATAAGTATGATTCTTTTATCCATCCTTACTTGCAATTGATTTCTGGATCATCATAAAAAAAACCATATATTAACTTATTACTGGATCCAATGAATTTATTCATTATTTATAATATTCAATGCAATCACGCCCTCTATTTAATACAGTAGATTGAATTAGTCACCAAAACAAAGCTGCTAATCAACCCGCTAGGTGGCAGTTTTTTTCACACAATGATAACGTCCGCTCGAATATATTTCCTCAAACTTGTTTATTTGTACATATTATTGTAAACTAACTTATCGAAAAGCCTTTGATTTGAAATGGAGTGAAAGAAACAAATTGAAAACTTGAACATTTTTGTATAGCCTCATCGTATGATGAATACCAGCCTAGCCCTAGACTAGATAGTCAATCAAGTCATCCTTAATCTCATGAATCTATGAATCATTCAAAATGTATACGTTGTTATAAAAACTATCTTCTATGCTAAGTTCATTTTTAGACAATTGCATAGGATAGGATTTTAGTGATGTAAACAATTTAATACCCACGAGGTCTAAATGTGATGACGTCATCCTTGTGACTAATTCAGTTTATTGAAGTACAGTAAACCAAGAAGGCCTAGAGTGCTGGGTTCCCAAAATTATGCCTTCTATTTTTACAATCTTACGTGTGCACTTATTATGGTCCAATTGTGGTCAAATGTAATTTTTTCGGAAGTGATCTTTCTCAAATTTGTAATTTCAGTTGGGGGGAAGGCCTTTAAAAAGAATCCCCCCCCCAACACAAATATAAATGCCAACATGGGGGTGGGGGAACACACATATTTTTGGGGTCTAATGATTGAAATGTTTTGATTTATAACATTGACTTTCAGCAAGTTGCTCCACAATGGATTTTAACAAAGAAACACTGAAGCTCTTTGTAGGATTAGATAATGGCACCATTTCAGAATTCTCACTCTCTGATGACTACAACAGACTCATCTTCCGAAGAGATTACTTAGGTAAGTCATCCATCGTTTATCACCAGAATCATTAAGATTTAGTCGGTCAGTGCAGCATGTTTGGAGTAGTGTGTCCAATAAATATTAATATCTTTATTAATAATAGAAGAAAAGCAAACGTGATATTTTAATCAAAGAATGGCAGCCATACGGATGCATGTTTTTGATTCAGACTATCATTATAGTGAACAGACAGCATTTGGTTCTGAAGGTGGTTCATGGATGAAAATACTGTAACTTTTTCCAGGTCTGAGCTCATCACTCAGTTTATGAGCAAATGTTTCTCTCCACCCAGAAGTATAAATGTTTTTAATTTTTTGTGGCTTTAAAGGCCAGGGATACGCCAACCAATGAACTTAATTACACTTCAAATGGCAGTCCCGTCATAAGATAAAAATACACACAAGATGGTTTACATAGACCTAGTCTTATTTTGAGGCTTAGGGAATGGAGGTGTTTTGGTCGTGAGAAAAAATCTTGTTTACCATGACAGGAATTGAACCCAGGACCCTGGGATTAGAAAGCAAGCATCTAACCACCAAGTCAACTCCACTCCCAAATGTGTACCTTATTCTTCAACTGAGCCAATACAATACACATAAGCATTTGGACCCAAATTCAAGAAAAAAAAGAAGCACTTTAGTAATAACGCTGACCATGGTTTATTATTGTTAATGATTGATTTAATTACCGAAGGTTATGTAAACAATGGTACATCTAATGTATAACTCAACTATCCGCACTAAAATTATAATAGTCTATATATTATTGTATATAATAGCCACACATTCAATGGTTTATATATTTGTTATAAATTGTATTGATTTTAATTAAGGCAAGTGGAGTGGAGGATTTCTTTTAGTCCTGTCCAGGCTATCAAATTTTATTTGACGACAACTTATGACCTGCCTAAATATAGTCATGATGACATCACAACATGACCATATATAGGCACATCATGACCATATTTGGGAATATGTAATAATCTGGACAGAGCTTTATCAGGATTTGAACCCATGATCTTGGGATTGGGAGGCAGCAGTGTGAACCATCAATCTGATGTTTTTAAAGATAATCTCATTATTGAATCTACCGCATCAGTTTTATTTTAAATCAATTAAGTACAAAGCATACATGATTAAAATTTTATTACCTAATATTACTACCACTATTACTGAAATCACAGAAACAAGACAATTCTGAATTACTGTGTCTGAATGCATCAGGGAAAAAATGTGTTTAGTGGATGAAAAGCTATTCAACTTATTTCTTCTGGTTCATGGAATTCTTGGTTGTAGTGATAAGCTGGAAATGAAACTTACAACAATCATGGCTGTGTACTGTACAAATTATTATTAATATCCTTGTTTTGTGGCATAAAAGTCAAACAGTCAAACATGATATGTGACATGGCAGTGGCATACAAAAGAGAGTTGAACATTCTGTGTTATACCAATATAATTTTCAAAAAAAGAATTATGTGGATTATAAAATTTAATCTTACATTCTTTCTCTCCTCAGCTCATCAAAGTCGTGTGACAGCAGTGGTCTTTTCCGTGACCTCAGAACTCGTTCTAAGTGTTGGTAGAGATAAGTACTTGCAGTGGCATTGTGCAGAGTCTGGACGAAGACTAGGAGGGTATCAATTTGGAGCCTGGTGCACATCACTGGAGTATCCTATTTTTAAATCCAATCCAATCAGAACATTTGTAAAGCGCCTTTCTTTGCAGATACGAAGCGCTGCACTCCACATATTTAGGCACCTCACAACCCACAAGCAGCAGTGATCATTGCCTAACCCAAGCACAGAACAAGTTGAAATATTTTTATTCCTTTTACTTTAAAATTGTGTTCATGAAAGTATAATCAATTAAGATACAGCTTAATAATATTACAGTAATTTATGCCATGCCTTTTAGATATTTGTTAAATGTTGAACAATTCTTAGATAAGAGAATATTTTATATTTGTTGAAAAGAAAATATTGAACAATTAAATTCAACATTTGGATTGCTAACTTCTATTTGAAACTAACAAAATATGTTTTTTTTCTCCAACTTAATATATAATATAATGAGATATAGCACCTTATAAAGTCTCAAAGCCCTCATTTTTTTTTTTATAATTTTTTTTTATTTCAACCATCTTTAAAGAGGGTAACCCTTCCAGTTTAGCCCAGTAGGTTAACTGATATTCAGGGGCCCTCTTTAATAAAATCAAAGAACAGTACAAACAACATTATTACCACAATAATAATAATAATAATAATAATAATAATAATAATAATAACAATAACAACATACAAGGTGTGGACTAGCTTGTGCAGTAACTTGCTTCTCCCTTATGGGTCTCTTTATGTCTGAGCTACCTGGTAAACCGATACTAGCTACTCTCGTCTGTCCATAACATGGGCCGTATGGACCAGTACACCTGGGTAGCCCCCTTATCATCTTGAAAGATGTACAGTAGCCAAATTATGTACACTGGGCCTATGGTTTATAGTCCTTTTCTGAAATGGCTTGTTTCACCACCAGAACCATAGGTTGGTCAAACCAGTGCCGATATTATGGCTTCTGTAGGTTGTTGCGCCCCTGCTTTAATCGCTCAGCCATTCGACTCGCCAAGATGCACCATTTCAATTTTCTGTTGGGAGAACAAACTGTTCCCACTGCACCAAACCACTTCCACAATTCATTGTTTCAATGTTAAACGAATAGAGGCCTTGTTGGCATGACGCACCATGACGCACCTGAAATATTATGACATATATTTTTACTGTTGTTATTGGTACATTTTATTGTTGTTCATATTTTTATTTTTATTATTTTTGATGATAATATTAAATTTTTAGGTGTTTATTCACCAGCAAAAAAAATACAGTATATGGACCCTTCAGGAGACAAAAGTGCAGGTAGAGAGGGTCATCCTTTTCCTCCCATGCCCTCTTTTTGATGTTCTGTCCTCTTGTACTTGTGAGCCTCATTTCTGTTTCCCTTTTTCTTGTTTTCTTCCCCTCCTTTGATTTTTTTAAAGTTGCCTTTTGGTGTACTGTCTGCTTGTGAACATCTTCTCATTTCTCTTTATCTGTGTCTTGTTTTCCCTCAAATATTTAATTTTTATTTAGTTTTTTGTGTCCTTTCCTGTTTTTCTTGTTCTTGGTAAATTTTCGATGTGCCATTTTTTTCCAATTGTTTTTAAATTGATTTCGATTTATGTTTTTTAATTCAAATGGTAATGTTTGATTTCTTTTGTTACTGGTTCTTTCATTGATGTATTATTTTCTGAAAATGAATGAGTATTAAATTAAAAAAAACAGTCATATATCTAAAAAATTGTCAATAGTCAAGCATTTTTATAATGCCTTCCACAATAAAAGCAATTTCAAGGTGGTTTTAAACCACTTAAAAACACTACTATAAAAATTGTATGACTAGACGTGAAGGGCAAAAAGTTGCGCACCCCTGATGTTGAGATGGTGTCACCATCATTACCACAGGTACCCCGGTGTTAGTATAAAATGTTTTGCTTTGTGTTTTTAAAATTTCAAATACAGAAAACATTTTAAAAGTATTTTATTTCAACTCATCTAATTTTATTAGATGAGTTGCATTAAATAATTCATAAGGTACAGAATGTAATGTGGCGTGACAAATAATTGATTAAGATTGGATATTTCTATCATCTAAACTGAATAGCAGGCTATTCATAGATTAATATTTACTGCCACAGAGCTTATTATTAATTAACAAAAGATATTGATTCTTAACTTACCAGGTAAAGTCCGCAAGTTCATATCTTATTTTTCCAGGAAGATGTCTGATTGATACACCTTAAAATTATTACTATAAAACCCTTAATAGCGACTCAGGTGTATGCAAAGAATTGTGTTTTTGTCTGTTTATTGGCCAAGAAAATATTCTAATTTTTAATTGAATTCACATTGAAAGTAATTCATATAATAACTTGTTTGTTCAAAAGTTTAATAGCATAACACAGAAATTATAGAGCATATGATATAGATACTGAAACAAGACGATTAAAAACTGAAACTAGAATTGTTTAATAAGAACACAAATGGTTTATCTTGATGATCAGCGCAGAAAATAGGAGTTTCTGTTTGGTGTGTTTTAAGAAATAGAAAAGTTCATGATCCTGTTTTAACATGTTTCCTGGAGCAAGTTAATGCTATGCCCACTCTGCAGCCTGTCGCTCCTGACCCCACATGCTTTCAGCAGCCCTGTCATCCATTGCCCACCTGTTCTCAGTAGGGGGCGTGGTCTGTGACTACCTAGCAGCCGTAAAGACGTGCTTAAGGTCCACATCATGCCATGACAGGGGCTGAAATGAACCATAACATCAGGGTAACCCACTACTCTTCCGAAAGATGCAATGTGTTCTTTAAAGTGCACATGAGCCAGATGTATACTGTGGGCCTCCATTTTAAGTCCTTATCCGAGAAGACTTGGTTCTACCAACCGACCCTGGGTGAGGAGTGGCTGCCCCCCCCTTCCAACACAACTGCTCTTCGTAGCCCTGAAACCCTCTCTCTCTACCTGCCGTATGTACATGCTTTTTAAGCTTCCTTAACACTTCTATAGATTTGATTCAGACTCTAGACATGCATTTGTTGGTGACTATTCTGGCAATATAACAGTCATTAAAGTTGAGGACAATGACCACCAGGTCATCACAACTCTTAAAGGTCATTCCGGTAAGTGAATTATTTATTTTTATTATTATTGATTATTGTTGAATTGGCATCGAATCAGTCTTTTACCTAATCTATCAATATGAAATGTAAAATGTTATGCATGAATGTTAGATTTTAGAAAACCTTTTTGTCTGTAGTGACTGAAATCAATCAATCTTTATCAGTAGCTTTGTTTTTGTATATTTCTTTTTTTTTCAGTCTTTAAGGTGGTAAAAAAAATGTTGTAATTATTTTTAATATTATTAATATGAAAAATATTATTATTATTATTGTTATAGTATATTTTATGTTGTAAGTTTATAATAGTCCTTAAAATGGTAATTTTCATTATTTTTAATATATTAATATTATAAAAATATTAGTATTGCTATTATTGTTATTGTTTTATTAATATTATTGTTACTAATTACTGATGTGGTATATTATTATATGTTGCCAGTTTATGATAATGTACTGTGTATGTTCCTTTTCAATTAAAGAGCTAAATTCTTTTAAACGTATGTGGCAAAGACGAGCCAAACCAGTCACTCGTCGCAAATCATGTTTCAGAGATAATGACCAAAACATGCTGGAATGTCAAAATATTTGAAATCTATTTTATTGCACTAAACTAACCTTTATATAACTATACATCATACTATGCTGTTATTTTCCCCATTTTCAATGTTAAAACAACAATTTTTAATAATTTGGTGATGGTCTCTGCTTGAGAAATGCCTAAAATCCTAAACTTTAAGGCTGATTTCACAAATATAGTTCTTTAAACAGCCCTATATTTAAATGCTTGTAACTTCATAAGGAAATGTCAGATTTAAATGATTTTTTTACCATTTTATAGCTTATAGCTTATTATGTATTAATAACTAAAACTTGATTTTTGCGACCAGAGACTGGTTTGGCTTGTATTTGCCACATATGCTTTTCTCATTGGCTACATAATAGGGAGTATACGCTCTTTATCATGGGATCCTCAGAGACGACTTCTGTTCTCCGGTAGCTTTGACCAGTCCATCATTGTGTGGGACATTGGGGGTAATCAAGGTACTGCTTATGAACTACAAGGACACACGTGAGTATATTTTATATTATGATTTCACTTAATTTTGCTTTAAAATTAATTTACCCATTGGTTTATTTTGTTTTTCATTCTGTTTTGTTAACTTGAGTTTGTAATAAATCAGAATTACCTACCTCCTGTTGTTTCCATTAAATTGCTACATTATTGCTATAATTGTTTCACTGCAATCTTTACACTACCTAGATGTTGTCCAATAAAGACGTGTCCCCGACCAGTTAATATTGCCAACAGCTGTCAGAAATAGCATGTAGCAATTTTATGGCTTTATAAAAACATAGTTTAATATTGAAAAACTTTTGAAAAGTATTAGTATAATGGATAATTCTTTCACAATGTATAAAAGCAGAAGATTTTAATTGTAGTATGCTTTTTAGAACTCTTCTACAGCAATTAATGTCTGTAGGAAATACACCTTACAGATTCTTCAACTGATTGAATAATAACTTAAATGATTTTTTTAGTGGAAAGGTTGAAGGTTTGTGCTACTCACGCCGCAGTAATCAACTACTATCAAGTGGAGATGATCAACGAATTGTCGTCTGGAATATGGAGGCTAAAAGGCAAGAGGTAATACAAATGGTGGCATTTTTAAAAAATTTTTTATGTTGTCAGAGTGTCTCCTGTCGGGCCAAAAATAATTTGCTCTGTCAGTGTAAGGTCTAATTTTTATTCTGGGGTCTAGACTAAGGCTCTAGTTGACTCCTTGGTTCAGAACCCCTGTTGGACATGTTGGACCCCCTGTTGTCAAATTTTTTGAGCCACCACTGCACAGAAGTCCAGAATTATTTTCATTGGAGTCCTTCTTTGTTCAAAGAGTGCACTTCATACTTTAACTTAGACATGGCACAAATGGTATTAACGTCTTACCCAAAAGACAGTGCACTATTGTCTACTTGCATTTCAGCCCTCTAGATTTTTCTTTATTTTCTATTTTTTTTTCACTTGTTAGACACCCGAATGGGTAGAGAATGACATTTGTGAGAAGTGTGCTCAACCGTTTTTCTGGAATTTTAAGGAAATGTGGAATAAGAAGGAACTTGGTGTAAGACAGGTAAATTGACAGCCTTACTACTCTGTCTGTGTTTAAGCTAATAAACTATTAACGCTCATTTTTTTTTTTCAAATAAATCTAATTATTTTGAAAAAAGCAGCGGCTCTCAAACCTTTTGGTAGACAACCCAAATGTCCAGGTAATTTGCCACGACCCACTTTCCAGGACAATAAAAGGCAGATACTCAAAATGGATCGTTAATTGGTAAGCTAAATAAAAATAAAATGTTTAAATGTCATTTAAAAAGCAATACCTTCACAGCCAATTGTAATAAAACCCAACATTTTTATTTAACGACCCAATTTTGGTCTCGACCTGTAGTTTGAGAACCAGAGTTTTACAGTAAATGAGATGTAAATTGATTGAGGTTTTGTCTAAACACATTATTATCTTGAATCTCTCAAGGGGCCTATTCAGGGTATCAAAAATCAGGGGCCCAGAATGTGGGAGGTATTTCCAAATGTCATTAGGTAATGAAATTAGTAAAGTAAGGAAGGCATGTGGACCTTCTGTTCCTCAACAGCGTATTAAATAATAACACAATCAAAATAATTACAGTCATTGTGTCTAGTATACAATAAGATAATTCTTTATTGTCTTTTACTCATATGTACATAATATATAGGGAACAAGGTGCTTTATGCTGAACTAATTTAAAGTTCTATAATAAATATAATTGTAAGTATGAGATACAAAACAGATATGCACATACAATAAAACTACAAATTATCAGCCTTCAGCAGTTGACATACATTGAATAATAGTTTAACAAAAGAAAACTAATTTACATTATCCTTGAAAACCTGAGTTGATGACATTATCTGAGTTAAGAAGGATATCCTGCTTTTGTTTGTTTTACTTTTATGTGGGCATTGTCTACAAGCGTTGGTTATATTACCTATTTTTGTGTAGTAGGTGTGTAAATAAATCCGGTTAACTAGTACATGAAAACCACAATCTAAAAGATTATAATTTCAACAATATTTAGACATTTTATTATCTGAATATGGGGAATAATTGACCATATTTTTATCGACAAAGTATTGTGAATAAATTGTTTACTCTAATAATTGTTCTTTTGGACAATAAGAAACACTTTAATAATGAGGGAGAGGTGGTGATCACAAGTGAATTTTATGTGATGAAGCAATTTCATGTTTGATGTTGAGGGCACTGATGTTAATGCAACATTTAAGTTTATTCATCAACTTCAGAACTGCATATTGCCAATAATGTATGCTGGACTTGCAATAGAACAAATGAAAACTCGTTGCAAGAGCCTGAAAAGCGAACATCTGTGTATTTGCATATACAGAACACCTGCATATATACAAATACAAATAAGCAAACAAGAACAGCTGCAGCGCCCTAAACATCACACATCCAAACCACATCATCACATTTTAAATTTAACATTATTAAGTTTAATTTTTTATATTTTTTTTGAGTTGACAAAGGAATATATTAATAATTACTTTTCAGCATCATTGTAGAAAATGTGGAAAAGCAATTTGCGATAAGTGCAGTTCAGATCGGTCCACTTTACCGATTCTGGGATTTGAATTTGAAGTGCGGGTTTGCCGTGATTGTTACAGCGAAATCACAGAAGAAGAGTAGGTTAACTTACCATTTTCAATAGTTTATAATGTCATTGGTTTAAAATTTCCTTTTATTTGAATGTTATTGTTATATAATAATACAGGATACTGTGTTATAAGCTTGCAGTACACCACAAAGGTACCGTTTAGCACCAAGATGATATTTATCAAATAAATTTTAGTCATTAAAATGCTTGCCTTCTAATCCCACGATCCTGGGTCCAATTCCTGTGACAGCCAAATTTATGTTCATGCTTAAAAACACTCCACTGCCTAAAGCCTCTTAAAGGCACTTAATGTATGTGTCTACAGTATGTTATCGTATAACAGTTAACCATATAAGATCGAGTAAGTGCATTATTATTATTTATTATTTATTAAATCCGGTTTGGATTATTGATGGGATGAGTCATGAGCTAAAGATAGAAATAAATGTAAGACCTGTCATTAGAGTAAACAACACCACACATTTCCTGATAACCAAGTCCCCAAGGTGGAAACATAATACCGGTACAGTAAGGCAGTATAATAGAGCATAGACACATGACCCCATTGGGAGACTAAAGCATCTTTCCATCCTGTTATTGGTGACTTGCTGCTGATGCGAAAGAAAAGAAAGTGAGACTACAACTGTCATCTATGAAGTCACAGATATGACAGTCATAGACGAAGAAGAGATCGAAAGTCTAATATCTGTCCAATGCAGTACACAAGAAATGAATCCCAAAGTTTTAACTTCAACAATAAATAAATATTTAATTCTTTTAAAATAATCAGATATCTGTTTAACAAAGAAAAACAATTCAAATGATATAAACATAGAATATAATAACACATGGATCATTCAATTAGCAATGATGTATATATGTCCATAAAATCTATCTCGATAACATTTCTTAACAATTATAATAATTAATTAATTATTTATATTGTTACCAAAATCTGAATGAATTTATTATCTTTATCTCAATAACTACCAGTATAATTAATGTAGTATAGTATCATTGTTTGAATTATAGTAAACAAATGTTCTCATGTTACTATACGTCCTTATTGTAATCGCTGTGTTCCCACGTAAACGGAACTGTTTCAATAATGTGTTGAATATCTGCTATCAATAACAGCTTTTAGTTCTTGACGACTGTTATAGGGAGCTTTGATTTACCGTACACATCATCCTTTATAGCTTCTGCTTCAAAGTTCCATATAATTCTAAATAGCTCAGTAGCTCCAAATGGAAAGTTAGGTAATACTGCATTAAAGCAAAATATTCATAAAAACTAGGATGATTTATAAACAATCTAGCCATGTTATTAATGTTTATGCATTAACATTTAACAGTATTCATATCATAATCCAAGTATCCATGCATTAACATTTAATAGTTTTCAGATTATAATCAACTTTTAAATAGACATAGACATAACATACTTCCAATTATAACAATAATTGTTCAAATACTCGCAGTGTCCACTCTGTACTGTAGGTTAACATTGACGAGCTCCACCACGGTTCAGCTGCGAGCCTTGTCGGAGTTTCTATCCTAACTTGCCCCACTCCTCAGTTTATAACTGAATTAAAACCACTATATGATGGTTCTACCAACTGTGTAAATTTAGCAACAATGCAACAACCTTATGTTATTGAGCAAAGAACTTGTTATTCACTATATAGTGGAGTAGCATTATATAGTACTATGTAAACATGCATGACAGATCTTATAAAGTTCTAATGTGACACCCACCATAACTCAAATCAGTCAACCTATCTTTTAATCTGTCTAATGTAACAATTACAAAAGTATCAAATATACAACATGTTAAATGAAAGCATGTGGTGGAGCGTGTAAGGTGTGGGGGCTTGGAAACTGATGAGAGGAATGATTCAGAAGGCATTTTTTTTGTTAAGCCAAAAAAAAAATTGTTGGCCATGTTTTGGGAAAATTCAAAAAATGGATAGGTCGGTAGAACTTTTTTTTTGTTTACAACCAAACATGTGTTTACGCATTAAAATTAGAAAATACACAAATAATACAACAATTTTGTATTGGAATCATGTACCATTCAGCAAAATGGGCTAGCCTTGGCCCCCTAGCCTCGCCAAGGCTATTCCAGCCTTATTTGCTCATAAAAAAAATATTGTTCATTGTCAAAACAAAAAAAAAGAAACCTAATATGCTGACCCTTGATTTCGTAGAATTTGAGTCGGTCTGTCGTGGTTACACGTTGCGTATGATTGATTCTGTATTCTTGAGTGGTTTTTTTGTGCACTATATGAATCCTACAAAATAAATTAAATATAAAGGAATGAATCTGATGGAAAGTAAAACATTTTTTTTTTCATTCCATTTGTTTTGTCTTTTTCTTGATTATATACAAAATAAATGAACAACAAAAAAACAAAATGCTTCCTTCATTCCATGTTTACTGTGTGTGCTGCCCTCATTAATTTTGTATACTGTCTTCGTTACAGTCGAGCTCCACTTGCAAGCTTCCATGATGCCAAACATTCAGTAATATCCATGCACCTAGATGATGTCAAAGGTCAAATGGTTACCTGTGGAACAGATAGAGTAATAAAGGTTAGCTTAAATTTTTGTGTAACTTTTTGTCAATTTAAGAATTATTTTTTAATATTATTTTAGTAGTCTTCAATTAATCACAACAAATTTTCTTCAGAGTTTGATTCATACTGTCTTTTATTACTATTTATTTAATAGAATTTATTACCTTTATTATTTATTTATCATTTTGTTATTAATATTTTTATAATTCTTTATTGTAATTCAATTATTATACTTAATATTTGTGTAATAGCAGACAGCAAATGCATGTTTCAATAGGTTTTTTTATAATAGAATCAGGTAGGCCTTCCTACAAGGTATTGAGCTTAAAAACTGTTTTTTAAGATATATTTAATATGTTTTATTTCTACAGCTTTGGGATGTATCATCAGTAATTGCATGAGATCAAGATGATTTTAACCTTTTGCTTTCTCACCATTAATCCCTCGTCATCAAGATCATGTCTTGTATGTCCTTATGAGCCACGTGACCCATTTCACAACGGATGGTTTTCTGGCCAAGATTTGTGGATGAAAATTCTGATCCAAATTGTATGCATTGTGTAGATCCATCCAGAAGTCAAAAAAATGATTGATTGCCAAGCGACGGACTGATTGACAGCTCCAAGTGTAACCAAGTAAATGTCTAAAATATATTGATTATAGATTTCTAAATATAAAATCCCAAGTGTGTAAATTAAGACATTACTTTATCCAAAGGTTAAATTGTAAGTAATAAACTCATTCATAAATCTAACATAGAAATAGTGATGTACTAGAAGAAGGCTATTTAGAAGTGGATAATAAGGATATATGCCTGTTGCCTCACTGTGTTTCCATTTGTTTCGTACCAGAGTTGAATGTAATGTGTAAATTCTGTATAATTCCTGTTTAATAATGAGTAAAATGGAATATTTTATTGAAATAATGTTGAATTGAATTCATATGTTCATTAAAGGAGTACAAAACAGGATTTTAGTGAATTAATTTGAACAACCAAAAAAAAAAAAAACAAAGATTCAATTTTCAGATGGTCATCATGAAATTGTGAATATTCATTGTCATGTGATGTATATGGATTGATGTAATTGGTGGAGCTTAGACCCATTAATGCAAACCACTGTTCCATATGAGGTATATATATATATTTTAAGCCTTAAATGTTTGTACTATTTTTATTGAACAAGTTTGTAAAATTCTTTATGTTATGAAAATGATTTTATCAGGATTGTGTTGATAAACAAACAGTTTCCCACTAGGATAAGAAAATACTATAAATTTTGATTTAATAAAGTTAAATTTTATATTTTAATTGCTTACTTTGTATATTTAATTAAGTTAGTTTCGTTTGAAAATTAGAACGATAATATACTTGGCAGTTAATAGATTCATATTAATTCCTTTCAAAGATCCTAAAATTGGTTGGTAATCAATTTTATGGATTTTGGAAGTCTGTAGAAGCCAGTTCATCACTGCACCCGATGGTTGATGCAATTCAATGGATACGCAACATGCTCGCCACCTATAGATTTTAATGACAATTCGTTCAGATAGCCACTGACTATCAACTGACAGCATCGCGTTGTCTAATGCTGACAGGACTTGATACTTTTAATTGGCCAATTAAATGTCTTGTACCAAATTCACATGAGAAAAAATGTAATACAACATCCCGTGTTAAGGCAAATTTAGCATGCATCTTCTGCTACAGTGCGTCCGTGTTAATGCGCATTCGTGTAAGATTAGCACGCTTTCATGCAATATTCAAAACCAGCCATTCATAAACAATGCAAAGGAAAGAAAAAATTGTTAAGGCTGGTTTTACTGTTTCAGATTTAAGTCAGTGCTGTTTCACTGGGTGCAAGGAATTGTAAAGCAATTTGTAAATTTTTAAAGATGATGATATATAATGTTGTTTACAACAGTCATAATTTCTTGCGTGAATTTTCAACCAAATATAAATCAAATCTTATTTCACTCATATTTCCTCATCATTTTGAAGCACATTCACTAATTTTTTTACATTATTTTATACAATATTATATTATGCTAATTATAATCAGAGTATCTATTATAATTCTATGATTTTTGTATTATGAACATCATAACCATATGTATAAGAATTAAATTTGGTAACCAATTTATAATCTTCTAAACATCTTCTTTTTTTTGTTGTTGTTAATATAAGGTTAATAAGGTTGGATATGGAAACAGGAGAGATGACAGAGGATTGAAAACCTGTTTCAGTGTCTGGTTTAGTCAGGATATGGGAAGAGGGGTGGGGATGATAAACAATATTTTGTTAATCTTATTGCATTTTTCTGATAATTAGGCTAAGCTAAACTTGTGACTCTTGAGTTTTTGTTAGATGCTGCAGGGTCAGAGGTTAACATATACAATCATTTTTGTTTCACTGAAATGGTAAGATATTCTGTTAATGAACAATAATTAATTAGGTGCCTAAACTGTGGTAAGTTGCAGTACATGTTTTAAAACCCATATATGTGTAAATTTTGCTAACATAGTTCATGAAATGAAGTTTGTAGGCCTAATTGTCTATTCTATCGAGTTGTCTACCAAGGTTATAGTCAACTGTAAACTAGTCGTCAATTTACCCAATCTAGTCAGTGTCCCTTATACCATGGTTGTCTATATTCCCAGATTTTAATCGCATTATCTATTCTTGTGTGGCTATCCATTTCCAAAGTTTCTTGTCACAGTACCAATCCTATTACATCGTATACCCAATTTATAATTTTCTTTCCCAGTGGCGTATCGAGGAGTCTTAAAGTCAGGCTCCGGAGGAAAAACATTTTTTGATATGTTGTAGAACTGATTTTTCTAAGACGGTAAAAAGTTGTTTGACGAAAAACTGGGGAACGGTTAACGAGATACAGATTTTTGAATATTTAAAAACTGGGGGGAAAAAGGGGCGTAACAGCCCATTTTAAACCTTTTTACCCCCAGTTTTTAAATATTAAAAAATCTGTATCTCATTCACTGTTGCTCAGTTTTTTCTGTCTCAGAAAAATCAGTTCTACAACATATCAAAAAATTTTTTTCCTCCGGAGCCTGACTTTAAAATTGCGGACTGAGGGGCATGCGAAAGGGGAAGTAGGTGGGCTCGATTAGGGGAGGGGTGCTAACTCAAAATAAGTTGAGGTGATTTTTAACTACTTGAGCATGATTTTTGGTGGAGGACGACTGCGGGGCGGGGGGGGTGTTAGTATTTTTTGGGGGTATGCACCCCCCTAGATACGCCACTGCTCGTTGTCTATTCACCCTTTGTATATTAAATATATTTATAAATCTGTTGCTATTATTAGGCAGTGTATTGTATGTATTTAATGAGCTGAATCAGTATAGAAAATCAGAGTAAATTGAAATATTAATTATTTCTTTGTATAAGTTTGTAAACCTATAGTATTCGATATTTGCATGAATATGTTCGCATTTTTTTACGAACCACCAGAGAATAATATTGTAATTTGTACAACATAGTAAATTGAAATGGTTTATGAAAATGATTTTAAATAAGGGTTTACTATGTTGTAATCTTTAAGACAAATCCATTAATTTGATTTATATAATAAAGAGAAATTAAAATAACCAATTTGCATTTATTTGGTCATTATTATAAAAATAATGTTTTGAAATTGGTTAGAGCCAATTATCATCTATAACAATAATGATAATAAAATAATATTTATATAATACAAGAGACAATGGGTTTCAAACAATGGGTTTATAGGTACTGTATCCTTAACAATAATAATAAAAATAATAATATTAATAAAATAATATTTATATAATACAAGACAATGGGTTTATAGGTACTGTACTTTAAATGTAGTAGGATGTATTTTTGCATCACATTCTTGTTGGAGAAAGAATTTTTTATTTTGATACTTGAGTTACTTTTTGAGTTTGAAGAACATGGAAGACACTTTAAAAGTTTAGGTATGCAATGGTGAAAACATAATGCTATATAACCATAAACAATAAACAAATAAGAAGCCAAATTATGCTAAATTTTGTTTAAATTTATTCACATTATAACTGATAGTAACACGACAATATGAAACTGAATTAAAAAACAAAAATTATACAGTACAGTAATAATAGTAAAACTATTTCCGATGATCAGCACCATACCAATGTTCATGTGGTAGCCTCCATTAGTTCATTTAGTTCCTACCCCAGGGGCTACCTGTCAATCAGGTCACTATTGGGGGTGGTGGAATAGGTACCTGACCCTACATCCCTCACCCTGTCAGCAACAAAAAACTAGCTGAGCATGAAATCATCTAGATAAGAGGTAAAAATGGCTAAAACTCTAGCTTGCGGGGGCATAACCCCTGGCTTCCCACTATAGGGATGGGCACACCCTCCATAACTATCCCCTTCAGACCACAGCCCTTGATTGACATTTTTTGCTTCCCCGGCAGAAACATCCTTGGATCTGCCCTGCTAACATGAACACCACATTGTCAAATTAAATATTAATGTATTTAGTTATTAGACTTCCATTAAAATTGGAACAGTAGATGTTTTCCTTGACACTTAATAACAGATTCAGAAAGATTAAAAAATAATAATAGTCTCTATATTCTTAGCATAAACTATTAGAAAGAGCTCCTTACTTAAATTGACTGGTAGGCAAAACATAATACAGTAAATAACAACAAATTCATTAATAAGTGTACACTCAAAATCAGCCAAAACATGCTTCAATCAGAAAAGTGTTTGGTTTGACTCTTTCAATGAATAACTTAATATTTTAGATGTCTGAGATTTTTCCCAGATTTTAAGAGAGCATATCTTCACCATGGCCTCAAATGCAAAATATTTCTTTCATTTTTTAATTGCACATTCTGATGACAAAAAATCTATAATAATATTACAATTATGTTCAACCTTTAAACAAAAGTGACTGAATATGAATACAATGAAAGAAGAATTACATGTTTCCACATACTGTATACTGCATTGAAAATATTTCAATATCATCATCAAATATTTTGTCTTGTTCAACTAATTTATATTTTATCGAACTAGCAGCAGCAATGGAGAAGGAAGCATGCACATATGTCTCCTACTCTTCTTTTGAGTCAAAACAAACAGATCACCAATTTGCAACTGCTTTTAATGGGTCATCCATGAATTTAAATGCAATAAAACAGATTACCAGCATAAAAACAATTCATTTACACCCATAAAATTTTAGAGTCATGTAAGGGCCTCAACTGATAAGCTCTGAATCACCCATTCTATAAAAACATGTTTATAAACCAATTGCAAATGTTTTTCACCAATAAAACTCCCCTTATTCTTTTATGTTAGTGTGCTGAATTATATTCTTTAAGTTCATATACAAACAATATAGTTATTGCTGTTTATTAATAGTATAATAGTGACAATATTGACATGATAAACACTTGTATTGTTACATTATAAGCTTGCCTACATTTAAAATGACTACTTCTTAATGTTTTCAATGGTAAAAATGATGCAATAGAAAAAGAGAGAAATAATTTTGCGCAACAGGATTTTAACCACAGTAGCTAAAAGTTGCTCTATATATATGGTATGAGAATAAAGTTTTTAAAGGTAAGGATTCCAACCAGGGGAGCTGATCCAAAATGTTTTGCAAACTTTAACCTGGTATACCTAATAAAACATAATTATTTAACCGCCAAAACCCTAAAAAAAATCTTGAATCGCTCATTTTTACAGATCAAATAATGTTTTAAACAGACACAGAACATCACAATAGAAATCCTTAAATTGGTTTAATTTAAAGCCTGCCCTCTGCCTATCAAACTGTATTTGAAAACAACATGTGACATGCCTAAATATGGTCATGACATCATATCATGACCATATATAGGCACTGTTACATCATGCAATTAACTACCAATACCATGATGACAGCCCATTACAGATGTTTAACTTACATCCCACTGGAGCACCCCACATTCCTAAACTGGCCAACTGAACGATATTACTTGTCTGTTCCATTTGCATCCAAATATTAAGTATATATCAGGAGATATTACATGGTGGCAGTGGTGCTCAACATAATTCAACAACCTCTAAAATATATTTATATAAATATTAATGAAATAATATATTAAAATATACTGCCCCACCATGACAAAAGGAAGTAATTGACAATTTTTCAAAAACGAGTTTTTCAGTCACTATCAAAGAACTAATAATTTGGAACATAATGGTATATTTGAGTATGTTCAAATTCCACTAATTAACAAGTAATTAGCAACACAAAAAGGAAGGGAGAGACTAAAAATACAGTAAAAACCACCAGAAAAGGAAGCAGGGGACAAAATCAACATATTCCTTAATTACTCAAAGCACATCAGTTGCTTCCTTTTGTTATGGTGGGGCAGTATAGTTTAAAGGATTTATTACATTGTGTGAAAAAAGCAACATAGAATGGCAGATAAAGAACCATTTATGGACTGGAATTCTGCAAATGGCTATCTGGTAGACTTGAACATATGAGACCGGGTCTGGCAAAACCAGCCATTTATCTGAATTCAAAATTAAGTTTCTGGTATTTTTAGATTCTGCGTGAATTCTTCTTTAAAATAGTGTTTTATTTGATGGAAAGTATTAACAAAGTTATTTACTTTATTGGATATCAGCCATGTAGATTTTGAGAAAACAGCTCTAAAGATTCCAAAATCAATAGTTTATTAAGATTTGTATTAGATTTAGTGACTGATATTTTGCAGACATGTTCTTCAATATATCTTTATTTGATAAAACGCAAAAACCTGCAAATGTGCAAAGTTCCGTTTCTCAAACGTTTTGGGTGCTAGGGCAGAATTAGAAATGTCAACGAATGGGGGGTTTTGTTAGAGACGGTCACATATGGAATTCACCTCAGGGAGATGAGGGTGTGTTCCATAGTGTGTTTGATCTAATGACCGGGAATAAGAATGTGAAGCACTTAGAGGCCGTTGGCATTAAAGACTATCATATCATTATTCCTATACTGTATGTCAATATGTATTTATTTCTCTCTTTTCTATTTACATTTAATTAAGTTTCAATAACTATTTTTTTATTAAATGCCCAAATTCAATCTTAATTTTAAAAATATTTATTCTTATTGTGCAATACACACCTATCTCATAAGAGTGTTTCAGAGTAAATTTGCACTTTATAACCACAATAAAAAAGATCTGTTGTTTTTTTAAATAATTACTTGAAGTTCGGTTTAAGTTGTGTTAACAAAAATCACAACATATTAACATTAAAATATATGTTCCATATTGATCTTTATCGAACAAATTAATGATCCAAAATTTATAAAAATAATAATACACATAATAGCAATAATATTAAAAATTAAATTAACAATAAAAATAATGTATAGTAATAAAAATATTAATATTTTCGGAATACTAATTTACGATCATACCCAGGTGGTAACGCATGATCGATCGTCCTGTTCATCTGTCTGTTATCATAGTACAATCCGTTGGCAAGGTTACAAGCTTGGTGCATTGGTGATGATGGTAGGGAGGTTGATTTCAAAAAGCAATCATCATGTTCTTAGTAAAACCATGGTAACTAATCCTACAAGGAGAAATTATTATTAAAAAAAATATGATATAAAATGATACCAATGGTCTATTCATTATGTATTATATGATAACGTGTAAAGGTAAGGGGCGTTTGACTTACCCAACTTGTAATAATATTCATCAAAAAGGAAAATGTACGAATAGAGATCAATCTAAAACCACAACAATTTAGAACCAACAAGTGTAGTTTTGAATTTGGTTGTTTGGTTGTTTACTAATTCGGTGTAAAGCCGGTTCATGCGAATGCGCATTCATATTTCTATCAAAGTTTTTTGCCGCAGCGAAATCAGTAGTTCGAACTGTTTCTACTTTTTGCGAAGCGAATAAATGCGCAACCAATCAGAGCTCAGGAACCGAACCGACACTTTTGATTCGCGAGAATAAATTTGCCTAGTGGAGAACAGGCTTAACACCTACACATGCTTTACAGTACATGTATAAAGCTCTTTACAATGCTTCCTATGCTACAATGCAAAATAACCAAAAATCAGTAAAGATAAGCTTTCACATTTGGACATTTTACAGTCTAATGGGCAAACAGATTGGTAGCCCAATACTTGGCCTCTCAAGAATATCAAAAAAGTTGGAATATGGAGTTGATGGGATTACAACATACTGGATGTCAAGACCAATGCTGCCCCCTAGTGCTCAAAACCATCTAACATCCCAGGTGTTAAATGCTCACCTAAAATGTATGCAGCTATAAGTTTTTGGTTTATTGTAAGATGCAAGTACTCTGGAAGACGTGATTCTTTATCCCCCTGTGTCGGTACCATCAATGCCACCATACAGGCCATGGTGAGCAGTATCATCAGAAGGCTTGGTCCGGAGGACTGGTATCTTGTTCCTATCAAAACCACATTTGAGAGTAAAACAAAAGGTATAGTAAACTTTACTCTATCACAAGTTTAGCCAACAGAGCTATTATATATGCTCCTCCAGGGAATACTGATACAGTTGTACACATGAAATAAAGGGTCTTTTGTAAGATGACCGACTCACAGTGAACTTGTATTTCATCCTTCTAGCTGTAATACAAAGTAAGCAATATTAGTATTAGCAGTAGAGTTAGTAGTAATGGTAGCGGTACAGTAAAACGAGCAGCTCCAGGTAGCGGCTGACTGGATTTGATTTATTCAGTGTGGAACACCAAGAATAACCCACAAAAGTCAAAGACGTATTTCCAGTGGTGTCCTACTGGTGGTGATGGGCATTCTTTAACATACACATGGGCCATTGCACACAGCTTAAAATCTCATCTGAAACACAAGGCCAGAAGCAATCCGAATTGAATGGGAAATCAAGGTTATGTAAAGAGATCTCCACTGTTAATGAACACACATTGGCTACAACCAGTTCAGCCGACTGAGCTTAGCTGCTCTAGGCAGTAGCAGCAGCAGCAACATCAGCAGCAGCAGTAGTAATAGTGCTATAGATATTATGTGTAGTAGAGGTACTGGTATACTGCAGAACTAAATACAATATTTAGCAGTAGTAGTAATTACAGCATTATACGAAATTCATTATCTTAATAAACAAAATTTTTTATAAAAAGTTTACCATCACGCAGATGTTGGCTACTGCTTGGCACTCCTCCTACGTCCACGGATGACTCAGATTCCTCAAACTCGGAATCTTTGCCTTTCTCTTGTGAAGACTCAAACAGCATTGATACTATATCCTTTCTTCCAAGTGATTTACGCTGCCCTTGTTCATAGATTTGAAGCCGAAACTTATCCCTCGAACCATAGTACGTTGGGTTAACATCTTTATATCGTATCACTCTGGATATATAACAGATAAACACACCCAGTTTATTGATTTAGATTTTACCGTAACAACGGAGGTGTGTTGGTAGTTTTTTTCCTCATCGCATAAGACTGATAACAATATCAGGAACACCCAACCCACCCATGAGGGAACAAACAAGATGATGATGATGACGATGATGATGATTATGATGATGATTGCGATGATGACACTCAGAAAAAATAACACAAAAAGAGTATCAATTTACAAGCAACACATTTTTTTAAATGAAACTTAAATTACTATTGATCAGGAAATGATACTTGTTATATATTTAGCTACAGTATGTCCCTCTCTTCTCCTCCCGACAAACCCCTGACAGAGTTACTCACACATCTATGCAGCATCCATGTTTTATAGTTCCTTCTGACTCAATTACGGTGTATTTCTTTGGTGATGTGCTCAAAACTAGATAAAAAAATATCAAGTGCAATTGTGACTATGTTTGTAAGTTATCTATTTGTGGATTTACTTCAATGAAATATTATTCCTGAAAGAAATTAATATGCCGAGTATAAGTTGAGAAATGTAGTTACAATTATATGCCTCCAACCTACAATAATTTTATTATCAAGGCGAAACTTTTTTTATTCCTTGTATTGCATACTTATTTTTTTGATAATTATTGGAGGAGGGTGGAATAAAAATAAAAATAAAATTATGTTTTCTTATTTATCAAATAGTTTTGCCAAAGTCATCCTGAAGGAGGAGAAAATAAAAATAAAATTTTATTGGTGAATGTAAAATAGGATAAAATTTTAAAAAATTGAAAATCACTAGAAAGAACAGAAACCAGACAAAACATGGTATTCAGAACTTTTTTTTGGTAAAACTAACCGAAACGCTGTTACTTTGACCGTAATTAGTCCAGTGCAAACAGTCCAGGAAGCTTATCTCTCAAGAAAAGATTCGACGAGCAGTTAGTTTAAGAGTGGATTGTGACCAGGTTAGTTTTACCAAACCGAAAAGCAGTGGTTTAACTAGAGTTAATACTGATTCCATTCAGAAGTTTTACACACCTTTAAATCGTAGTGGGAATTCATATGGATTATACAAAGTCAAGACCTGTTTATGGCTACTCCTGTCATCTGCGTAATAATTGAGCTCCGATGGAAATGCAAATACTGGGAGTTTGCCATTCACCAGGCGAGGGCGCTGTCCAAGCTGCATAGATCTGCAGTTACTGTGCTCCGTTCCTCACAAAATTGATGAACTCCAGGCAACATAAGAAGTTTATTGCATTTGGGAGATGTGGCCTATTGTATAACGAAAAAAATCTGACAGGATGATTTTTTCTTGATGGTTAAAATGTGTTTTTATTATACAACGCCCAGTGATGGATTCAAGGCCCAGGGAGCTCACTTGCATACCAATCAAATAGGAGGGGGGGGGGGTGCCGCAGCCACTTCAAGACATGAGACACTTGCGCTACCTATTTTACTGAAAATTCTGTACCAAAATTGCACAGTGTTCTAAAAGATGACAGGAAAAAGGCCACTCAATAGTGGACTGGTTCACTAAGGAAAAAAGTCTGGTTACGATCTCGTGGCTGTACTAAAGGTACAGGTAGGCTTAGCAAGGCGCTTACTTACTGGCTTAGCACCCAGTTTAGCTCGTAATTTTGATACAGGATAGGCCAGGGACTATAACTACCAATTTCACACCGGTTATTTCTCACACTTGTGCTACAAAGTCCTCGAAAATATACCCCGTAAATGCAGCACCCCCACCCCATATGGAAATATTTAAGAGTGAGCCCCCGGGATTCAGGGGGGTGAGCAGGCCCAGTCACCCCCCCCCCCCACCTAAATTTTTTTCAAAATTTATATTTTCAAAAATAAAGAAAAAATATAATTATAATCAAATTTACGTCTGAGAGTGCCATTTCCGTCTAGAGCTATCTAGGTGCCATAATCAATTTGTGCCCCATCTATTTCGAATTCCTGGATCCTGGATAATTAATCAATTGTTAGTTAAGAAATGTAAAAAGGACAGTGTTAACCAAGAAGAGTGAATGTCGCCGTATAATCATATCCTGATTTATGAATATGAATAATTAATGATAATTTGAATTTTAAATAAAACTACTTGATGGCCTAGGCCTATATTATCAAAAGCTTCACATATGGCATCAAAGAACCAATACAAGTCATAAAAACGTATGAACAATGAGATTCGTAAACAAAAGTATTATTCTATTGTTCGCAATCATCGCCTGTGAACCAGGCCACTCGTAACCTCTCGATTTTGTCAACATTGCATCGTACTGTGCAGTGCCCAAATCTACAAACAAGTGTACTGTGGCAACAATTTATTTCAAAGGCTATACTTCATAACGTGATATCACCCTATAATTGCAAGAGGGAAAGTAACAAAATACTTGTTAAGAAATTCTACATTTGACAGTTGTTTTGTAGCAACTTACATTAAAGAACTTTCGTCACTGACTGTGTTGTTGTTTTCGTCAAAGGGTCGTTAATGATGAACGTATAATGTCATATGCTGCCCTCTAGTGGACCTGTCTCTTATACACATCTAGATGTGTATAAGAGACAGGTGTCGGTACCACGTCACTGACTGTGTTGTTGTTTTCGTCAAAGAGTCGTTAATGATGAACGTATAATGTCATATGCTGCCCTCTAGTGGACTATTCAAACAAACATGGCTGCTCCCTTGCAGAAGTTGAGGTAATGTTTGTGAATTAATTATTTGGACTAATTTGAACTTTATCATTTTTAAGTATGTTTATGCAAGTAGTAATCCAGTATTTGCTTGATACTACATAATTAGGCATGTATTCAATAGATTAGAAGGGCCTACTTACTTATTCAGTAGTTAGGCCCTAGCCTACTAGGCCTATAGATAGGCCTACCTAGCTAGCCTGAACCAACAACAATGTCAACAGGAAAGCCTGGCCTGCTCCTGCCCAGGATATGTAGCCTACGGGGTAGGCCTAGGCCTCTATCTAATCATAGCTAGTAGGCTAGATCCTTCCTCCCCTAGGTCTAGTGACTTGTATGCCAGCATTTATAAATAATCTGCCAACATGTTTTTTTTATTTTTTTCAGTCATAAGCAATACAAAGCCCTACTGAAAAAGGAGAAAAGGAAAAAGAAGAGACAAGAGGCAGCAAAATTGAGGCACATAGGTAAAAATTGTAAAATTGAAAATGGAAACAATCAATTAGGATTGGTATAATAGGCCTAGATCCTAAAAAAGTACTTCATTTTCATATGGGTAATTCCATGTCAAATCAACCAAAAAAAAACCTCAATCTCTCGGATTTTGTTCAAATTTTTGTATGTTGTTGAGGCCCATGAGAAACGATCAGAAATGAAAAATTTTTTCTCTAGGCCTCCTAATTAGCGAGATATCTGCTAACGAACTTTTGGCTAATTAGCGATACCTTGCGTGTTTAACCGACCATATCTCGAAAAGTATGGCACCTACAGAGCTGATTTTGGTGTCATTTTAAAGCTGTTGAGTAGCTCTATAACTTTATTAATAAATGCTAAGTCCTCAATTCAAATATAAAAAAGTTATGACAGGTTGTAAAGTTCAAAGTTGAATAAAAAAAAATATATATATATTTTTTTTTTTTGAAATTCATGTTAGAGATACCTAATGATGTAAAGAAGCTTCCCTATAAGTTTGGTGATGGGCGCTCCAAAAGTTCCTGAACAGTGAGCAATTATATATATATATATATATATATATATGACATGTCCTTTCGAAATAGCACTTTTTGTACATTAACAGAGTAATGTGTGCTAATATGTGTATACTGTAGTATAACCAAAAGTAACTCTTCATTTAGGAATTTAGGTTTTAAAGTTGAATTACAATGTAAAATAAAAAGTCTCAATAAATTAGTGATGGACACTTCCTTAGCAGCAAGCAATTATACATATTACTTCATGCAATTTCAAAAATTAGGACATTTTTCAATTACATTATATTGTATTATGGAATCATTATTTTAAGAAGCATATTAATATTCAATAAACTGATCAGTACATACCATAAATCATGATCAGATATACCATCGATGAAAATTATAAGACAAATCATTTGTCAAAATAAAATCAATGTCAAAAAGATGTTTTGGCTCAGTTCTAAACCTTAATTTTTTTGGTAAATGCAGCATTGGCAGCCTTTGTTTCTTTTTTTGAGATTAAATATGTTCTTCCAGTCACTGTAGTTGGGTGAACAGCTGTTAGTATATCTTGATGATCAATGGTTAAAGAATCTGGTGGTTCTGGAAATACGAAAGATGGCGACAGTCCATGTGGG